GTATATATATATATATATATATATATATATATATATATATATATATATAAATTATCTCATAAATCTAAATGTTTGTTCATTACCCTTCATTGCAATGTAATACTGTGATCTTCATGACTGAGCAGATTCTCGATCTTGGAGTAAGTGTGTGAAGGATTGGCGATGGCTGAGGAACCAGGTGATGGCTTCATTAACAGAGGATTTTATTTTTCGGGCTTGCATGATTCCAGATTTGGTGCCATGCACCGGTCCTACTGCTGCCATCTTCATCAGTCCGCTCTTGTTTGGTGTGGGTATGTTGAAGTAGCAAGATTATAATGTTGTCCTTTCAGCAGATGGTGCTGTCGAGCTCTGATAATGAGCAGTGAACATGCCAGTATTATGTATGCTTTTTTTTTTAAAGAGTTATGGTTCAGAGATGTTTAAAAGCTCAGTGTGTTAGGGAATGTTGGGATTTCTATGACTTGTTTTGATGACTTTATGGTGTGCTTTCTGTCCAACACAGCTCATTTCCATCATATCATTGAACAGCTTTGCTTTGGATAAGACACTGTAATTGAGATCCTAATTTGTCAGTGTTGTCTAGCTTGCATTTCACCTAAGATTTCAATATCTTAATTACCCAGGTCATCTCTCCTATCAGCTGGGTGTTCAGCTCTTCGTCATCCTCCTCTTCCCCTTCACAGATCCTGCTTTTTATGGCATGACCCCCATCTGCAGTCTACTGTTTACACCTCTCTCTGCCTGCACATGACACGCTCGTCACGCTACCTGGATTGAAATGTACCTCAAAGTCTATAAAAAAACTAAATGGGGAAAGAGCATTAAAAAGAGCGTAAATGAAGCATGTTGCTTTCATGCAAAAGACTCAACATATCCCACACATTCATCAGCCTAGATGATGAGTAAATGACTGTCATGTTTAATTTCCATGCCTTTTTCTGGTAAGAGTTTTCAAACTGGCGTGTGGCTCAGCGGCTCATTCACACGTTTTATTTTTTTCATTATGCCCATATTTCTCTTTCATTCAGTTAAAGTTGTCAGCTGTCATGTTGTTAAATTAAAACCAGATGCTGATGTGTATAGCAGGTCAGATGCTAAGACGGAAGACATTCTAATATCAGACGAGCAGCATTCTCTGCCTTGTATTCGAAAATGAAGGATTTTTGGATAGCATTATATTTACTCTTTTATTGAACAGTATTGTTCTGAAATGTTATGAAATTAATACGTTTATTCAGCAAAGATGCAATAAATTGATCAAATGTTACAATTATAATGTTACAACAGATTATAATGCTGTTCTTTTTCATTTTCTATTCATCAAAGAATTCTGAAAAAAATGAAGCATTTTTACATATTTAAAAAATATTAAGCAGCACAACTGTTTTCAACATTGATAACAGACCGTTATTTTAGAGTTATTTTTATACTATTATAGCATATATTAATATTTAGAATTAGATTTTTTTTCTATTTTATAGCTTTATTTTTTCTTAAAATCAGTTAGTTACCAAGGCAACATTTTATTTCAGCTTTTTCAGTTAGCAAAAATGATTTTTAACAGTTTATATTAAAACAGAAATATTATTTTAATTGTGATATTTCACAATATTGCCGTTTTACTGTATTTTTGATCATGTGAATGCAGCCCAATATAATGGATAAAACATCAATGTTGTCATGAGTACACTTTATATGGTTTGCTGTCTCTGTTTCTATTTGCATAGTTCAGTTATGGTGATGTGAACCAGTTAAATGGAGAACATATCCATAGATACTAACAGATAACAGATACAAAGAGCTGGAACTCCCGGTACATTGCTCTCCAGTGAACACTCCTCATTTATGCGCTAGCCTTTCAAAATAACCTTGGAGTTTGTACCTATGGGAAGTAATTAGCAATGTGCATCTTCCAGCTAACAGGCAGTTCTATTTGGCTCTTTCTCCTCTTGTTTGATAGTTATCTCCAATGATAACTCGTGCAACACATTTCTTGCAAGTTCAAAAACAGTATTTCCTGTGTTTTTTGCAATTTAACTTCTCAGGTCACGGCGTAAAGAAATCATCCACACAGCCGCTCCTGCCAAAAACACATTTCTGTGGAATGTTGGTCCTTGAGGGTATTTGATTTCAAACCATGTGTTGGGCATCAGCAGCTGTCAGTCTTCCTATAATAACTGCCAATCAATACAACACACCATTCGACTTTCAACAAAAGGATTTCCACAAAAAACAAACACAGATTTTGTGTCTGAATCTTTGAGGACGTGTCAGCAGAGCAGAGTTGAGAATGAAAAACGCAAGCTCTGTGTTTGGAGTGTTCCGAGCGTTTCTGAGGTAGACTGAGGCTCCAGGAAAGTTTAATTCCAGGGTCCTCCTGGACACGGCAGAGCTGTCTGAGGTTTATTACCATTCTCCAAACAGAACTGTTGCCCTTTGCTTCATCATTGACCCTCAGGTGTGAAGGACTGAAGGAATTCAGTAGCCAAGAGAGTTTGCTTATGCTTTATATTATAGCATATATTCATATATTCAGAAAATTAAATCAGGCTCTAAAGTGATTCACCAGAGAAGCTTTACCAGAAATCCAGATCTTCTGACTCAAGGATTTTCCATAATGAATTAACTGTCACCCTCAGGAGCACCGGCTGACTTTTTGCGGTTAGAGGCCTAATGCAATTCCGAGGGCAACCATTGTGTTCTGAAACTTTGAAGCATTCCCAGGGTAGTTTGGCTCCTGGAACCCTTGGCGATTGTTAATGTGTTCACCATTCTCCTGTTATATATTCACATATGTGTTTCATTGGCCTCATGTGAATATATGGTTTTCCACTGGCAGTGTCAATGACAAAACCATCAGTGCTGGTGAAATATGGTGTTAGTTGGTGTATTCTGAAACCAAATATTGTGTTATTTTGTGCAATAGTGATTTATTTGCCATTTTTT